CATTATTCAAGAAGAACACAGAAATAGGATAAAGAGTTGTTAACGATGTCGGAGCTGACAAGAAAGCGACAGTCGATGAGTGGGCACAAATCATACGCCACAAAAGTTGTGAACAAGGTGAGAAGTATGGTAAACGATAATGCACCATCAAGGAAAGTCGAACTGGAACAAATGTGGCTTATAATTCCTACAGAAATTAGATACAATTTCGAAGTTGGACGATGAGATTCAGAGCTTGTTAAAAAAGATGAAGATATTTCTGCAGATATTGACGGCTCATCAGAATACAGCTGCGACGCTTTGGGCGCGTTGGCCGAAATCAACGAAGCGCTGAGCACGATAGAGACAAACAAGCGAAATGAGGAACTCGCCAACACATCAGCAAGTACGGTATCCAGTGGAGCACGCTGTAGAGTAAAGCAGCCCAAACTGGAGGTGAAAACGTTCTCGGGCAAGATACAAGAGTGGCGTGAATTCTGGGACTTTTGAGAGTTCAATTCACAACAAAGACGGATTGTCTGAGGTCGACAACTTCACCTATCTGAGGGGAATGATGGAGGAGCCGGCCAAGTCAGCAATTTCAGAATTTGCTCTGACTTCGATCAACTATGCAGAATCCCTGAAGGTGTTAGAACGGAGATACGGGAACAAAGTGATGGTGCAAAGGGCACATCTAAATGATATGATGAAGCTAAAGCCCGTGTACAACGAGAATGATACGACAGGCTGCGCAAGTTCTTTGATGCCACAAACAGTATAAGAGTATATAAAGATAACAGGACGGACAGAACGTATGCAACTTCCTCGTAAGTTTAAAAGATATTTTGTTTGTCTAAATAAGGTCATTTAGCAAAAGATGGTCGTGCACGTACTAAATGTAATGTATGTGGGGAGGGTCATCATGTGTCTATATGTGACAAAGGAAAACAGGACGAAGAGAAGGCTGAAAAACAGAGTGGTAGCGCAGAGAAAACAAAGAAGATAAATGTGAGTAACGTTCATGTGAGTACAAAGACAAGGGTAGCCTTGCAGACTGCGCAAGAAATTCTCGTAGGTCAGAATAGGAAGAGTGCAAGTGCTTTTTGACTCGGAAAGTCAGAAGTCTTTCGTGACAAACAGGGCAAAACGAGATGCGAAGCTTAATGTAGCAAGGCAGGAATGGTTAAAGGTCAACACTTTTGGTGGTGGAACAAATGAAGGTAAGATGACAGAGGACGTCAATTGCGAGGTCGCATCAGTTAGGGTGATTGAAAATTCATTTGAGGCATTAGTAGTTCCACGTATTTGCACAGTAAAAATTAGCATATTGAGATGGCTAAGGAGCAGTATTCTCATTTGAAAAATTTGTTTTTGTCAGATGCAAGTTTGAAGCAGGAAATGTTGGAAGTGGATGTTTTGATAGGAGCAGTTAACCTTTGGGCTTTTCAGAAAGGATAAATAATTAGGTTCAAAAAGGTGAGCCATTTGCGATTGACACTTGTTTAGGATGGGTTGTAAGCGGTCCACTGAAAGGAGCTCGAAAATCAAAAATGCACATGTTAATTTAGTTTCGCAGACTGCAACGGAGAATACAAACAGCATAAACAGGCAGGTGAACAAGTTGTGGGATTTAGAAACACTTGGGGTCAGGAAACTGACGATGTGCACGAAGAATTATTAAATAAAATTGAGTTTAATGGGCATAAGTACTCTGTTAAATTGCCATGGTCATGAGCATTTACCAAGTAACTGCCAATAGTTTAGACGCATGAAAGGGCAAATTAAGCGCTTGTCAAATGACTTAGTTTCGGGGCATAAGCGCACACGAAACGATCGATTTATATGAAAAGGCAAAATTTAGAATGTCTCAAGGCGGGCTTAAGTTAAGGAAATGGATGACAAATGACGCAAACATGCGTGCGGATATAGAACAGCGTGAATGCGAGAACAATGTTGTGCAGGCAACAGATCCAGACGATGAAACATTCACACAATGGAGTTCGCGAATCCAAAATAACGATGATTACGCAAAAGTTTTGGTATAGGCTGGGATTGCGACAATGATCTGTTCATGTTCGACCTACAAAATTTTGTAGTTGACTTGGGTGAAAAGAAGCCAACTAAACGAAACTTGCTGAGTGCATCAGCAAAGATATTTGATCCACTAGGATTAATTAGCTGCGTAATAGTTTTGATGAAAATCTTGTTTCAACATTTGTGCGTAGAAAAGATTGATTGGGATGACGAGATAAGCAGAAAGCACGCCAGTCTACACACTGAATGGATTGAAGATCTAAACCGTGTTAAGACTATTAAGCTAAGTAGATGAATCTATAGTAGTGTGAAGGGCGAAATTCAATCTTGTGAACTTCACGAGTTTGGTGATGCAAGCGAGAAAGCGTATTGCAGGCTAGTATATTTTGTTTGTCATATGAAAGAATGTTATATGCAGTGCGGTGTTTGAAATTAAATTTTCAGATCATTTCAAACACCGCACAGTACATTTTGTTTGTCGCATGAGTGTTGAGTCTTTGTGAAATTGTTAAAGGCAAAACTAGAGTTGCGCCGCTGAAGAAGCTTACTATACCGCGCTTAGAACTAATGTCCGCACTGATGTTAGCAAAGTTAATGGAATCTGTGCGGAAAGCTTTAGTAGGCCACCTGCATGAATTGTTTTAATACTGTCATTGAATTTTTCTAAAATGGAAACTGATTGATGCTTTGCATATCTACGTGTTATGCTTTAGGAGTTATATGAAGGCGAAGTCATAGCTACACAAGCACGTTAAACTGTTGTCTCTAAATGTGTAAAACACTTTTGTTAACTCTATAATGATTGTTTCTCAATATTTATGCTATTTTATGATGTCAAAGAATGGAACTTAAATAGACATAAAATATAGGCGAAGCGTTTTATATACAATCGTCTTCTTATTGATTGTTCTTCCTTTGTGTTTTTGATAAACATATAAAGCTAAAACTTAGACGTTTTTAAAACTATTCTGTTTCTTTAAACACAGTTGTTATCTAATTTTATGGCTTCAAAAATAGACCTAACTATTTAATGAAAAAATTACATGCATATATATAAATGAGTAATTATAAAATTGACGGTGACATGGAAGGCGATTTTGAATCCAAGCCAAGTATATGAAAGTACTAGAAATATTAAGGTGGCGAAATTTTTTGCGAGTATAGTAATTTTCAAAACACATTAATCTTGTTTTTCTTCACTTAAGTAACCATAATATAATAATTGAAATCTCCTCCTCCAATTCCTTTGTAAACGCTTTACACTTCTGAATATTTGAATATGTAGTAAGATTATACTCTTGGTTTTTAGTATATGGGGAGGATATTATCATATATTACTTGTCTTAATTGCTTCATATAAGATCACGTATTTTCGACTTGGTGTGTATGGTTTTATGTTGTTTGAATGAATCCAAAAGAACACTAGGGATCCAAGGATAGTGCAAAGCTTCTTAGAAAAAATGTTCCTAATCATGTCAAATAAAATTAGTTTCAAGAAAGCTTAGTATCCAAGTTTTAACTGAAAACTTGAAATAAGTGTCGTTCAGGCCTATTAACTTCGTGATACCGGTCACAAGCACTAGATTTGTAGCGTACGGCTATCTGCTTTTGAGAAGTTTTATCTCATTCATATTGAGAAGGAGTAAAAAGTTTTTCTACGCTATATTATTCCTTGCTATATTTTGATTGCTTTGGACAAAGAAAAGAAAGATCAATTAAGGTGTTACGCAAATTTTTACGTGCATTAAGTTTGGTGAACTTAATATGTTTCTATGGTTTCAATCATAGCAGGTGCATTTTAATTGATTTTCTAGCTAAGTGTGCTTTTTTCGGTACAAATCTTTTATGAAATAACAAGCGTGTTTAAAATACTGTTAAGTTTTCAAAATGCATGAATTTAGCATGAAATACAACTAGTTAAACAGACCGAGTGTCTAATGTACAAAAAAGTCAAACAGAGTTTTAATGGAAAAATGGAAATAAAAACATTAGGAAAGTTAAATTATGCTAAAAGCAGCCAATGGCGTAACCAGAATGCAATTTTTACACCTGCTAGATGTACAGTTTCACTGACGAAATGGCATAGCAGTATTAAATTTTCCATGTTAATATTTGCTAAAGCTATATATCAAACGTCATTTTCAATCTAACACTGACATGAAAACCATTAAAAAGATGGCCGCAATACTGTTTCATGCAAGAAATAGAACATCTGTGTAAATAGTAAAAAAAACCAGAATGTTAAATTTATGACGATAAACAAATATGTTAATTGCCGAAACGCTTAATATAATGGTCTGTCGACACTTTTTCTCATATAATTCGCAAGAGAAAGAGAGCACATAGTTTGAAAACGCCTTAAAGTGAAAGTGGTAGGATCATATAATTTTTCTTTGCATATTTTTTGAACTGTAACTGTGATTTAACGCCATGTTTTCAATTGCTTTTATCCATGTTTCTTTTATGCGCGTGTTGATTCATAAGAAATAAAAATTTTTTGTGTTTGGAGAAAAGGTTTCGTTACTTCATCATAGCATGCAAAAATACCAATCAAAAATAAACGCTCAAATGCAGTTTACCAAGCATCTTGGAAAAATAAAGCAAGTTTTTTTAAATCCGAACATATAGCTTAAATTTAATTTCATATTTATAAAGCCTGACCCCTATTCAAACCCATACCCTAACGGTGCACTTAGCCCTAACACATCTTTCATCATTAAACTTTAAAATTTACTTTGTTAAGCATCTTTTGTTTTACCTCTCGTTGAAGTAGCTTTGAACACCATTTTGTTACTAGTTTTGTTGCTAATTTGCATTTTCCCAACATTTACAGCCATGTGCCCTTTATAGACAAGAAAAATGGCTACTGACATAACCGTAATAAAGTTCAATATTTTGATTTTTTAGGAAAAGTTTGTTTGAAAATGCTCTTTTGGATTAGATTTTCAATATATGGTGTTTATCTTCAGTCATCTTTATTAAAGGCAATGTACAACTCAAGCTCGTATTGCGTCACTGCCTCAAACTATATTTTGAGAAACATCAGCGCCTCAGAGATTAACAAATGTCTGGAGAAGTGTCTACAAGACTGCTCATGTTTATCATTTCAAATTTGTGATTCTACCTGCCAACTTCTTTCCACTACGATAACAGACGAACTAAGTAACAAAGATGAGAAACGACAATGTCAGCATTTCACAATGAACATAGCAAACCAACATGAGGTATTTCAGAAACACTAATGTCGTGCAAATTTTTATTGTATGAATTGTCCGAAACTTTAAAGCTTACAAGCCAGATTATGCTTAATTTTATGTGTCTTTTAATCTTTTGATTTCAAAGCACGTAACTCTAAGAATGATAAGAGAAAGTTAGACTCATATTTCTGAGAAATACTAGTAAAAGGTGACGACTGGTGGGGTGGACTATATGTATAATATTGGTGATCCCCATTTTGCAAACGTCACTTCCCGTGAAATTGGCGCGCTTTAATTGGGTCAGAAACATTTTTGCCTTTGTCTATTACTTTTCGTCTGCCTCTGATAGAAAAGTTCAGTGTGATATTTTTTCGTAAAGACTTTCTGTTCGAATAATAAGGGCTTAATAATCAGAGCCGACTGCTAATTGAGCTGTTGTGTTTAAGTTTCATTCTGCTTAAATCAATTATGATTAAATGTAACACTCACATAGATTTATAATATTTTCAATGCTGTTGCCGTTCTTCAATGAGATAATCTCATTTTTAAGGCATTTAAAGATCATTTCCAACTTAACGCGTATAAGAATATAAAAATCATAGATAAAATACCAAATAACGTTGACAGATCAAAAAGAGAATTAAAAAAATAGCTGGAAGCCAAGTTTGATGTGTCATTTGGTAATAATTAAATCACCCCACAAACATATAACATCAGTTATGCAGCTATCTCTATTACGTAGCTATATGAATAATTAGAGGGTGAATACTCTCAACCTTGAATTCATATTATGCCATACAATGATCCTTTTAAATCAATTGTTTTATTATGGGACAAGTACTTAAATGCATGAGCACAAACATCCCATCCCAACACCCATAAGATCGTGCTGCATAGCTAAACCATAGTTCAAGTAAAAAGTTCGATAGTAGTTTTTTTTCTAATACAAATAATTCTAAAATAAAAAGAAAACAATTATTATTGTTCTATCCTGTTTAATAAAAAACAACTTTAAGTTTTTTGTGTTACTAAAATTGATTTTTTTTATTTTAAAAGTGTCGATCAAACTACTATCAACAAAGCTGCTTTGTTGTAATAGATTGCAATCTTACTTCAACTTACTGCTATAACGATGGAAAATGTCGTAAATCAAAGTCACCCCTAAGTAAGACACGTGCTTCATGTGAGTGTAAAGAGGGATTTGTTGGTGAACGTTGTGAAAAGAAAGCAAAGTCTTGTCAAAGTTATCGTGATCTTTCTGATGGCTGGTACAAAATATTTACAAATGATGACAACCAAGTAAAAGTTTACTGTCAGTTTGGACCAGTCAACATTTGGACATTGGTTATGTCTTATAGTTTAAAATTCAACGAACACTACAAAAATAAGGCATATTATAACAACTCTCCTCGAAATGAAATGAATGAAACATGGGAAGATCACAGACTTTCTTTTAATGCAATGAAAAGTATAGAAGAAGATGGAAACACACTATGGCGCATCACGTGTTCATATGGTGAAAAAGGCTGGAATGAAACAGATATTGTTATTGCAACCCATGAAAATGCACCAGTTTTTAAAAAATTCGATACACCTCCAGTTTGTTTAAATGTCAGTTTTATTAATATCAGAGGGCATAAGTGTAAAGATTGCGTAATTCCTTTTTGGCAAAATGACGAACATATTTTTCACACAGATAATACCCATAGTTCATCTCAATGCAATCTGAAGGATTTTGAATCATCTGTATGTAATGGTCAAGCTAAAGGAGGAGAAGATAATTTTGGATATTATAATTGTTATGACAAAAAACATCGTTGTGCATCATCAGATAATGCCACAACACAATTATGGTTTGGTTAACGAATGAAATTCAATTGATAAGTACAAATGATGACTTTTTAGTTCAAGAAATTACAAAAAAAAGAAACCGACCGTTGTTAACGTATAAACTTTAAGCAATTGCCGCTACTTAGTAGGAAGTCTTCATTATAAATAATTACTTATTCATATTTTATAGGAAGAAAGACGTTTAATTATTGCTTGTGTAAGTTTAATTTAGACATATATATTTATTCGTAAATGGTAGGGATGGAAAAATTGCTGAACCTGCTAATAAAAATATAAAGTTGAATATTTCGCCTCTGAACAAATACTATAATTTTATCAGAGCATTTTGAAGCAAATTCTCTTTAATTTGCAAGTTTTTTCGTATACACGTGCATATAAGCTGTTACAACCCAAAGTTTAGGACATAAAAATGGAGATATTTAGAAAAATTTTACATCCAAAGTACATTGTTTAATTAAATAATGTAGTTTATTTAATACAATGAAGTTATAAAAATCAGTAGCGAAGCCAATCCGACCTTTTATACCACCCCAAAACAAACTTTCAGCAAATTAATTCCATTTTTTGTTCTTACATTGATTGAACAGTAAAGGTTTTGCAATATACGAGTAAAAGACAGTCTTGTTTTTGCTACTGATAACGATGCAGGTGGCGTGATTAGGCAATCAAGAATAAAATAATCTTATTTAATTGTTTCCTAAAAAATTGCCGCTCATTGAGTATTGCGAAAGTTGATCTTTGTGCCTTTGTGATACAACTAAAATCAAAATATCGATGATATTTCTTGCTTTCGTATAGGAATTTAAAAATATATATTGCATCATGCAATATTTTGTAGCGTTCGTCTCTTTGTTTTCTGTGCGAAGGACAGAGTTAACAGATTAATTATAATCTCCAAAATAAAAAAGGACCATTATTAACTCGGTTTAGAAGTAACTGGAGCTTGAGCCTTGAGGCCGTGTTTTAAATTAATATAATATTGGATACGTGATTTTGAATGCCCTTGTTTAACATGAACGTAAACGATATAATTTGATCCAGTTGAGTAGTAATGATGTATTAATAAATACCATTTATGATGCTTAAAACACGGTGCAGTCCTGTAACTAGTCGATAAATAACCAGTAAATAGTCGAAACAAGGTGCTATCCAGTAACTGCTATAGTGGCGAGAAACTCTCGTCCATACGTAGTCTTAAAGAGAATTGACTCGTCTCCAATCCCTGTGGGCTTGGTAGATCAGGTAGAGAGGCGGACTAATACCCGATTGTGCATGTTCAAATCTCGTCCAAGTCACATGCTTTTCATGTGCATATAAAAACCGTGTTAGGATTTACATTATGTATAATGCTCAATAAAACGACAGAAAAACTTTGTCCTGTATGCACCGAATGATGTAGAGACATGAATGACATAATCGAAAATCCTTAGGGACCTAGTTATATTAACCTGGGTGAATTGAAATGCAACGTTTTCGGTGGAGCGTAAAGGTTCCACCGGCTCCACCGGCTCCAGGACTCCCCTTCTCTATACTGCTGACGGGCGGACTTAACGCAAAACTATACGTCAAAATCAATTGATCGAGACGTGTTAACAACTTTAATTCGTCTGTCAAGACGAATTAGACACCATAGTAGTCTGGACGGTTAATTCACCTCGTGTCTGTCTTTGTCCTTCCGACGATCTAAGAGACCTAAAAACGGCCAATAATATACTTATAACTAGCGTCACTAAGGACTGAATACCTTCATTACACGCTAACTGTCAAGAACTACGGCAAGAAAACTTTTGTCTCTGATATAAAAAAGCAACAGCGGTACGTTTATGTTTTTATCACTTTCGGCTCTTGCTTAGATACAAATAGAAATACATATTTATAGCTTAACTATTTGTTGATTAAATAATAAAAACAGAAAATGTCCCTCTGGCTGACTTTGTGTCGAACAATATGTTAATTGTTCACTTGCTTTTGTATATAGCTTCGAGGCACAAGTTAAATGCTGCTCTTTCAAACTTTAAATATACGTACAAGTATAATTTCTCATCTCTTATTGCGATATATATATCTTGTTAAAGATAGTTTGTTTTTTTTTGAATTCTACAAGATAGAGAAGCATAAAACTTTCTTTGAATATTACAAGTAAATAGTAATGCTGCTTTAGAAAAAAACGTTTCATAGCTTGTGAAAATGTATACATTCAAATTTTTCTGCTTGAAATTGAAAATTTCCTTTCTAAGACACAGTTAATCTCCACTCTGTTAAAGTTTTGATTAAGCCTGGAGTTTTAACAGCGATATTTGGTACTTAGACCAACTGTATGTATACTCATTTGTCGCTTCATGTTTTATTGTAACGATTTAATGAAACGTAAGCATTTCTTTTGACTTTTGACTGTATTCAAAGTTCGTAAAAATGACACAAACTGAATTTTGGTAATAACACGTTCCATTCAATTGATCGAGAAAAATATCTTGACCTGTTTCTTTATTAAACATAAAAGTCCTCTAGCTAACATGCTGCATGTTTGATTTAATTCTTTCAAATATATTTCCCTAATTTCCATAATGGGTTAGATGATGAGCGTTAATAGGTAACCGACTGCACGCACAGTTTTTCCTCATCATAAAGGAAACCTGTCTTCAGAAAATTTTCAAACTGCTCTGATGTTCCATTGTGAAGCAAGAAACAATTATAAACGAAATATTAAAGTGAATTAGGTAAGTTACATAAACTTTGCTCAAACTACTATTAAAATGGCCCTGATGTAATTAATCAATGTTATTCTTTTATTTATTTATGTTTTCATTGTATTGCATAAGTATTGTCGATATTGTTATGTTATACGTTATTGTATGACAATGTAAAAGATCTTACAATTGTTGCATTGATGATTCAAATTTTTTTGATGTTGTATTGTACGGATGTTTACCTCATTTAAAAGTTAACGTCGAATGATATAGTAGTTGGTGGTCTTTGTGACTTTAAAAGAGGAGAAAAAGATTCAAGGCTTGCTCGATCAGATAATATTTTGTGCAGCTTGGTTAATGTTTGTTTTCTATAAGTTCTTTTGAAGAAAATTTTGCTGTATAAGTAAATATGGGCTTTAGTGAAATTTCGTATGAAAAATTTCCTTTTCTATTGAGCATGTTGTTTAAAGTCTCAAGCCCATATTTAATCGTTGTTATGCGTTTCTAGTATTTTGTTTGAGGCCATCTTGACCATGACCATTAAGATTATGACCATCATGACCATGACTATAAAGACCATGAATATCATGACCATTACCATTATGACCATGACCATCATGACCATGACAATCATGACCATGACCATCATGACCATGACAATCATGACCATGACAATCATGATCAGAACTATCATGACCACGACCATCATGACCATGACTACCATGACCATGACTATCATGACCGTGACTATCATGACCATGACTATCAAGACCATAACTATCAAGACCATGACTATCATGACCATGACAATCATGACCATGACAATATGACCGTGACAATCATGACCATGACTATCATGACCATGACTATCATGACCCTGACTATCATGACCATGACTATCATGACCATGACAATCATGACCATGACAATATGACCGTGACAATCATGACCATGACCATCATGACCATGAATATCATGACCCTGACTATCATGACCATGACTATCATGACCATGACCACCATGACCTTGACCATCATGACAATGACTATCATGACCATGACTATCATGACCATGACTATCAAAACCATGACTATCATGACCATGACAATCATGACCATGACCATCATGACCGTGACATTCATGACCATGACCATCAAGACCATGACTATCACTACCATGACTATTATGACCATTACCATCATGACCATGACCACCATGACCATGACTATCATGACCATGACTATCATTAATAAATGTTTGCCTCATTATGCTTGAATCAAATTTTATAAATGCACAAAATATTTTATACAGTTGATTGAAATATGGTTAAGTTTAACAATATGTTTTTCATTAAGATGTGTATACTATCTTTCAGTGGCTAATAAATTACGTCTGAAATGCAGCGACTTGATATTTTTGTATTTTCCCATAAATGGCAGCAAACTAAAGTTTCCAATTAACTTTTATTGCTAAACGAACTGCAAGTTTTAAAATATAAGCATATAGTTGAAAACATGATGAGTTCAAAGAAATAAACATGTTGCTACAAAACAAAGAAAATGGCGAGGATTAATTTATCACGTGTAAACTACGTGCAATCAATGTGCAAATATAGTTTATTTTGTTTGTTGTACCCATGCATTTAACTTTACATTTTAGACTTATAAAGGTGCGTTGCTTAGTGTATTACAAGACTCTGTAAAGGTCACGTGGCTTTTAAGTACTTTATACTGCACCTGTAAACTTAAGCAATACACATAAATTGCTGATTGATTGAGCGCAGGTGTTAATGCATTTATATTGTTTTCAAGATTACTAACAAGGATTAATATTATGTAAAAAGAGACAAGCCTTTAAACGCTGAACATTGCATAAGTGATCAGCATTATATATATATATATACAAAGTGTATAACAATGTGCCCTCCGACAAAAAAGAGTATAAAGGAGTAGCATTTTTAACTAACCATTATTTTCTACCTAAGACGGGTAATTGTATTCGTAAAATTGTAAGAGCTTCTGTCCGTCACAATTCTTGACTTGAAACCATTCTCTTGAAATTTATCATACAATGTTGCTCGTCTACGTCGGCTGGTGCCAATAATAACACTGATAAAATATTCTTTTGTATCATACCTCCAACATGGCTGAATTGCAAGTCAAGAATAGCTTGTGCCTGTTACAGTGATATCTAAAAATATCATAAATAAATATGAAAATATATACTTAGAAGCAACACGCTTTAATTCCCGACTTATTACAACATGCACGTGTATATACAAATATATTCGTGAAGAAAGACGTTTATGTTTTAGCGTATTTTTTACAGTCATGGGGTTTTCGCTTGCAGTTCATTTATAGTTCTCTTTATAATGTTAAGTTTTCTGTTTTCAATTAATGCAATGCAGTGACAACATGTTTTTACGATATATCTACGGTACTTTTCACAAAATATACACCAACAGTCGAACTTTTTACGTTTCAGAGGACAAATAACTTGTTTCTTATTCGCCTTTGGTGAAAATGACAGCACTAATTTTTATTAAGTATGTGTGATGACGACAACGAGTGTGTGAGTCTTTAAGTAACACCTGCATGAATTGTTTTATTACTTTCTTTGAATTTTTCTAAAAATGGAAACTGATTGATGCTTTGCATATCTACGTGTTATGCTTTAGGGAGTTATATGAAGGCGAAGTCATAGCTATACCAGCACGTTAGACTGTTGTCTCTAAATGTGTAAAACACTTTTGTTAACTCTAATAATGATTGTTTTTCAATATTTACGCTATTTCATGATGTCAAATAATGGAACTTAAATAGACATAAAATATAGGCCAAGCGTTTTTATATATAATCGTCTTCTTATTCATTGTTCTTCCTCTTTGTTTTTGATAAACATATAAAGCTAAAACTTAGACGTTTTTAAAACTATTCTGTTTCTTTAAACACAGTTGTTATCTAATTTTATGGCTTCAAAAATAAACCTAACTACTTAATGAAAAAATTACATGCATATATATAAAGGAGTAATTATAAAATTGACGGTGACATGGAAGGCGATATTGAGTCCAAGCCAAGTATATGAAAGTACATGAAAATATTAAGTTGGCCAAATTTTATGCGAGTATAGTAATTTTCAAAACACATTAATCTTGTTTTTCTTCACTTAAGTAACCATAATATAATAATTGAATTTCTCCACTCCTCCAATTCATTTGTAAACGCTTTTACACTTTTGAATATTTGAATATGTAGTAAGATTATACTTTTGGTTTTTTAGTATGGTGGGAGGATATTATCATATATTAGTTGTCTTAATTGCTTCATATAAGATCACGTAGTTTCGACTTTGTGTGTATGGTTTTATGTTGTTTGAATGAAGCCAAAAAAAAGACTAGAGATCCAAGGATAGTGCAAAGCTTCTTAAAAAAATGTTCCTAATCATGTCAAATAAAATTAGTGTCAAGAAAGCTTAATTTCCAAGTTTTTGACTGAAAACTTGAAATAAGTGTCGTTCAAGCCTTTAACTTCTGTGATACCGGTCACAAGCACTAGACTTGTAGCGTACGGCTATCTGCTTTGAGAAGTTTTATCTCGTTCATATTGAGAAGGAGTAAAAGTTTTTCCATGCTATACTATTCTTTTGCTAAATTTGATTGCTTTGGACTAAAAAGATCAATTACGGTGTTACGCAAATCATTACGTACATTGAGTTCGGTGAATTTAATATTTTCATATGGTTTCGGTCATAGCAGGTGCATTTTAATTGATTTTCTAGCTAAGTGTGCTTTTTTCGGTACAAAAACTGTTATGTACAAAAAAGTCAAACAAAAAGTTTTTAATGTACAAAAAAGTCAAACAAAGTTTTAGTGGACAAAATGGACATAAACACATTAGATAAGTTAAATTATGTTAAAGGGAGCCAATGGCGTAACCAGAATGCAAGTTTTACACCTGCTAGATGTACAGTTTCACTGACAAAGTTGCATAGCAGCATTAAATTTTCCAGGTTAACTTTTGCTAAAGCTATATATCAAACGTCATATTCAATCTAACCCTGACATGAAAACCATTAAAAAGATGGCCGCAATACTGTTTCATGCAAGAAATAGAACATCTGTGTAAATAGTAAAAAAAAACAGAATGTTAAATTAATGACGATAAACAAATATGTTAATTGCCGAAACGCTTAATATAATGGTCTGTCGACACTTTTTCTCATATAATTCGCAAGAGAAAGAGAGCACATAGTTTCAAAACGCCTTAAAGTGAAAGTGGTAGGATCATATAATTTTTCTTTGCATATTTTTTGAACTGTAACTGTGATTTAACGCCATGTTTTTTAATTGCTTTTTATCCGTGTTTATTTTTATGCGCGTGTTGATTCATATTAGAAATAAAAAATTCCTTTTGTGTTTGGAGAAAAGGTTTCGTTACTTCATCATAGCATGCAAGAGATACCAATCAAAAAATAAACGCTCAAATGCAGTTTACCAAGCATCTTGGAAAAATGAAGCAAGTTTTTTTAAATCCAAACATATAGCTTAAATTTAATTTCATATTTATATAGCCTGACCCCTATTCAAACTCATACCCTAACGGTACACTTAGCCCTAACACATCTTCCATCATTAAACTTTAAAATTTACTTCTGTTAAATATCTTTTTGTTTCTCTCGTTGAAGTAGCTTTGAACACCATTTTGTTACTAGTTTTGTTGCTAATTTGTATTTTCCCAACATTTACAGCCATGTGCCCTTTATAGACAAGAAAAAATGGCTACTGACATAACAGTTCAATATTTTTGATTTTTTTAGGAAAAGTTCGTTTGAAAATGTTGTTTTGGATTAGATTTTTCAATATATGGTGTTTATCTTCAGTCATCTTTATTAAAGGCAATGTACAACTTCAAGCTCGTATTGCGTCACTGCCCTCAAACTATATTTTGAGAAACATCAGCACCTCAGAGATTAGCAAATGTCTGGAGAAGTGTCTCCAAGACTGCTCATGTTTATCATTTCAAATTTGTAACTCTACCTGCCAACTTCTTTCCACTACGATAACAAACGAACTAAGTAACAAAGATGAGAAACGACAATGTCAACATTTCACAATGAACATAACAAACCAACATGAGGTATATCAGAAACACTAATGTCGTGCAAATTCTTATTGTATGAATTGTCCAAAACTTTAAAGCTTACAAGCCAGATTATACTTAACTTTATGTGTCTGATAATCTTTTGATTTCAAAGCACGTCACTCTAAGAATGATAAGAGAAAATTTGTCTCATATTTCTGAGAAATACTAGTAAAAGGTGAAGACTGGTGGGGTGGACTATATGTATAATATTGGTTATTCCTATTTTTGCAAACGTCACTTCCCGTGAAATTGGCGCTTTAATTGGCTCAGAAACATTTTCGCCTTCGTCTATTACTTTCGTCTGTCTCTGATGAAAAGTTCTGTGTGATGATATTTGTTCGTAAAGACTTTCTGCTCGAATAATAAGGGCTTAATAATCAGAGCCGACTGCTAATTGAGCTATAAGATCGTACTGGAAAGCTAATCCATAGTTCAAATAAAAAGTTCCATACTTTTTTACTTTCTAATACAAATAACTATAAAATAAAAGAAAACAATTATTATTGTTCTATCCTGTTTAATAAAAACAACTTTAAGTTTTTGTGTTACTAAAATTGATTTTTTATTTTTAAAGTGTCGATCAAACTATTATCAACAAAGATGCTTTGTTGTAATAAATTGCTGTCTTACTTCAACTTACTGCTATAACGATGGAAAATGTCAAATCAAAGTCACCCTAAGTAAGACACGTGCTTCATGCGAGTGTAAAGAGGGATTTATTGGTAAACGTTGTGAAAAGAAAGCAAAGTCTTGTCAAAGTTATCGTGATGTTCCTGATGGCTGGTACAAAGTATTTACAAATGATAGCAACCAAGTGAATGTTTACTGTCAGTTTGGACCAGTCAACATTTGGACATTGGTTATGTCTTATAGTTTAAAATTCAACGAACACTACAAAAATAATGCATATTATAAAAACTCTCCTCGAAATGAAATGAATGAAACATGGGAAGATCACAGACTTTCTTTTAATGCAATGAAAAGTATAAAAGAAGATGGAAACACGCTATGGCGCATCACGTGTTCATATGGTGACGAAGGCTGGAATAAAACAGATATAGTTATTGCAACCCATGAAAATGCATCAGTTTTTAAAAAAATCGTTGAACCTCCTGAGTGTTTAAATGTCATTTCTATTCATATCAGAAGGTATAAGTGTAATGATTGCCAAATTCCTTTTTGGCAAGATGACAATCAAATTTCACACAGATAATACCCATAGTTTATCTCAATGCAATCTGAAGGGTTTAAATCATCTATCTGTCAAGCTGCTAAAGGAGAAGATAATTTTGGATATTATAATTGTTATGACAAAAAACATCGTTGTTCATCATCAGATAATGCCACAACACAATTATGGTTTGGTCAACGAATGAAATTCAATTGATAAGTACAAATGATGACTTTTTAGTTCAAGAAATTACAAAAAAAAGAAACCGAGCGTTGTTGACGTATAAACTTTAAGCAATTGCCGCTACTTAGTAGGAAGTCTTCATTATAAATAATTACTTAATCATATTTTATAGGAAGAAAGACGTTTAATTATTGCTTGTGTAAGTTTAATTTAGACATATATTTATTCGTAAATGGTAGGGATGGAAAAATTGCTGAACCAAGCTAATTAAAATATAAAGTTGAATATTTCGCCTCTGAACAAATACTATAATTTTATCAGAGCATTTTGAAGCAAATTCTCTTTAATTTGAAAGTTTTTTCGTATACACGTGCATATAAGCTGTTACAACCCAAAGTTTAGGACATAAAAATGGAGATATTTAAAAAATTTTATATCCAAAGTACATTGTTTAATTAAATAATGTAGTTTATTTAATACAATGAAGTTATAAAATCAGTAGCGAAGCCAATCGACTTTTATACCACCCCAAAACAAACTTTCAGCAAATTAATTCCATTTTTTGTTCTTACATTGATTGAACACTAAAGGTTTTGCAATATACGAGTGAAAGACAGTCTTGTTTTTGTTACTGATAACGATGCAGATGGCGTGATTAGGCAATCAAGAATAAAATAATCTTATTTAATTGTTTCCCTAAAAAATTGCAGTTCATTGAGTATTGCGAAAGTTGATCTTTGTGCCTTTGTGATAACTAAAATCAAAATATCGATGATATTTCTTGCTTTCGCATAGGAATTTAAAAATATATATTGCATTATGCAATATGTTGTGCGTACGTCGCTTTGTCTTCTGTGCGAAGGACAGAGTTAACAGATTAATTATAATCTCCAAAATAAAAAAGGACCATTATTAACTCGGTTTAGAAGTAACTGGAGCTTGAGCCTTGAGGCCGTGTTTTAAATTAATATAATATTGGATACGTTATTTTGAATGCCCTTGTTTAACATGAACGTAAACGATATAATTTGATCCAGTTGAGTAGTAATGATGTATTAATAAATACCATTTATAATGCTTAAAACACGGTGCAGTCCTGTAACTAGTCGATAAATAACCAGTAAATAGTCGAACAAGGTGCTATCCAGTAACTGCTATAGTGGCGAGAAACTCTCGTCCATACGTAGTCTTAAAGAGAATTGACTCGTCTCCCCATCCCTGTGGGCTTGGTAGATCAGGTAGAACGGCGGACTAGTACCCGATTGTGCATGTTCAAATCTCGTCCAAGTCACATGCTCTTCATGTGCATATAAAAACCGTGTTAGGATTTATATTATGTATAATGCTCAATAAAACGACAGAAAAACTTTGTCCTGTATGCACCGAATGATGTAGAGACATGAATAACATTACTGAAAATCCTTAGGGACCTAGTTATATTAACCTGGGTGAAATGAAATGCAACGTTTTCGGTGGAGCGTAAAGGTTCAAACGGCTCCACCGGCTCCAGACCTCCCTTCTCTATACTACTGACGGGCGGAATTAACGCAAAACTATACGTCAAAATCAATTGATCGAGACGTGTTAACAACTTTAATTCGTCTGTCAAGACGAATTAGACACCATAGTAGTCTGGACGGTTAATTCGCCTCGTGTCTGTCTTTGTCCTTCCGACGATCTAAGAGACATAAAAACGGCCAATACTATACTTATAACTAGCGTCACTAAGGACTGCATACCTTCACCGCATGCTCAATGTCAAGAACTACGGCAAGAAAACTTTTGTTTCTGATAATGAACAAGCAACAGCGATACGTTTATGTTTTTATCAATTTCGGCTCTTGCTAGATACAAATAGAAATACATATTTATAAGCTTAACTATTTGTTGATTAAATAATAAAACAAAATGTCCCTCTGGCTGACTTTGTGTCGCAAACAATATGTTAATTGTTCACTTGCTTTTGTATATAGCTTCGAGGCAACAAGTTAAATGCTGCTCTTTCAAACTTTAAATATACGTATAAGTATAATTTCTCATCTCTTATTGCGATATACATATCTTGTTAAAGATAGTTATTTTTTGAATTCTACAAGATAGAGAAGCATAAAACTTTCTTTGAATATTACAAGTAAATAGTAATGCTGCTTTAGAAAAAACGTTTCATAGCTTGAGAAAGTGTATACATTCAAATTTTCTGCTTGAAATTGAAAATTTCTACGACAGCACTTCCACTCTGTTAAAGTTTTGATTAAGCCTGGAGTTTTTAACAGCGATATTTGGTACTTAGACCAACTGTATGTATACTCGTTTGTATTTTCATGTTTTACTGCAACGATTTAATGCAACGTATCTTTTGACTTTTGACTGACTCATGAAAAAATGCTTATCACATGCAAAATGTTACTTAGTAATAATAGTCGGGTGCCTTTGATGAGCTACCATGAATCAGGCAATCTATCCAGCAAATGAGGTGCTATGTATTGGAGGAAAACGATTTTTTATCAATCATACTCTTTAGCAGTGATGGAAAAGTGGTGCTATTGCAATACTTATGCAGGCTGAATACAGCGTATGATTGATAGAAAATTTCAGGCGTCGCGAAAATCGATTATGTTTTTTCATAATAGATTATTGCCATAAAAATGAAAAGTTGAAATTAATGATACAATAAAAAGTATCAAAATTAATAAAAATATGCATTCAAAATCCAAACACAAATTTCAAGCGCACTATTTAGGAATTGCATTCGTACAAAGCTACTAAGATGTGAAATGCCGAGAATTGCCGCTTCCTTTATTGCTGGGGCCTTTCTCAGATCATCCTGACTTCCATGCTGTTGACGAATCCAACATGTTGGCTAAAATGGCCAAACCTGTGATCTGTCCGATTATAATCGACGATTGATCAGTTGAGGCGATTTCAATGATCGATTGTAAATCTCAAACAATCCCACCATTATACAGTGCTGCCAGGAAATTTTATATGAAATACTTGCTGGGACTATTGTCACTGCTATTGTTTTTAAGGCTACGCTTTTTTCTTCAAAACAAGAGTAGATTACGTGTTTATTAAAACGAAATCAGATTACATTGTAATCGTATTCTGTAAAACATCATCTATTTAGGATTAGATTAGTTTGTTAAACGAAAATCAGATTACATTGTAATCTGTATTCTGTAAAACATCATCTATTTAGGATTCGATTACGTGTTTGTTAAAACGAAAATCAGAGTACATTGTAATCTGTATTCTGTAAAACACCATCTATTTAGATTAGATTACGTGTTTGTTAAAACGAAAATCAGATTACATTGTAATCTGTATTCTGTAAAAAACACCATCTATTTAGGATTAGATTACGTGTTTGTTAAAACGAAAATCAGATTACATTGTAATCTGTATTTTGTAAAAAACACCATCTATTTAGGAATTTGCCAGCAAGCATGGGTGTACGGGACCAAAAAATGGGTGTGCTGACACTTTTTGCCCGACGAAAACAAAACTGCCCTCAATGAAATTCATTGATATAAAAACACTACTTAAAATAACCATTGAACATGTTGTCGCTTAGCATCATTGGAAACCACAATTTGTCATCGGGCCATATTTCATTAAAAGGAATTTCATCCATGTTAAACCACTTAGGTCTCATTTCTGTTGGAGGAAATGCATAAAATTAATTTATGAAAAGCTTTATATTTATTCTGAATTAATTTTAAACAGTGGAGGCCAGACTGTTTATTAATCCATTTTTCACTCACAATAGAAACAATAGTAAATTGAATAATGAAAACAATAATGTGCTGAAATTTACAAAGTTGGACAAAATTTGCAGGCTGCCAATGCCATTGATTTTAACTTGTTCACCTTCTGATTCTTGCACTTCCCTTTCGTAAAGCCTTGTTGTGAAAATATGGATTTGGATTTGTGGCTCATGTTTTAGGTCCTTGTGGTTAGATTGCATTCTTCTTTTAATTTTCTAAAATTACAAAATTGCCATTGTGTAAATTATTTTCAACAGTCCAAGAAGTATAAACATTTGCAAACCTATCTTTTGCTCCTGCCTCAATTGTTTCTGTGCTATCTACTTTGCCACCAAATCCATTCCATCTTCCATCACCAAATCCTCGTTTCTTCATTCCCAACAACACCAATGTTTTAGTAATTTGTTGTTTGTCATTTTGTTACAAATTTGTTACAATTCATTTAACCACGTGGTAACACAGTTGATGGCATGTAATAGACCACACGTGACACTGAGGTCTGGGATTGATGAAATGAACCCGTGTGTTTGAGGGAAGAGGAGGGGAGGGGTTACAGGTGAGAGGAGGTACAGGAAGTCAAAACAGGAAGTCATTATGCATGATGCCCTTATGTAACGGAATTACTGAAAAGTTCTGACTGTGCGTTTCCGAGTTCGAGACAAATCGAAATTGAAAGTTCGGTTTTGTAGTTATGAACAAAGGGTTATTTGGTTTGCCGATGCAAACGGTATATCGTACACCGTATCCCTGGAGGATAATAAATTGCAAGCTCGATCAGATGATACGGTTATCATAAAAGAATATCGGCCGTAAAGCCATGTGCATTTGCTGTTGGACGTGATCAGAATGTGTACTTGTACGTAAACAAAAGTGATATTCCTATACGCCTTCAGATTTCGACTTACGAAAATCAACGATGGAATCCCATACACAAATGGTCACAAAAAGCGGTATGCTATATTCTGTTTATTGAAGTGTAAATTCGTAACGATCTTAAACAACAAGGAGAATATATTTTAACTCAAGTTTCATTTCAAATTCCTAATTCGCCATTTCAGCACTATTTTTGTTTATAAATAGATTAATCATCACACTAATGACACCATGTTTTAAATCCAATACAGTTTCCATTGTGTATATATTATGATATTGTTTCACAAAGCTCAATGAAGTAGCATTTTTAATGAGATTTTAACAAAACATAGCATTCGTTTATAATATTTTGTTGTTACTAAGAAGTTTGGTAACTGTGTCAGGTACTTTACAAGAAAAGGCAATATTTCACATAAAGTTTTCAGTAAAATCTGAAGCTTAGGAAGAGCTTTGCAAACAGAGAATTATGTTTTGCCATTTAGTGTCAAGTCCTTTTAAATCCCAAATATAATTGCCTTTGTTTTGTTTTTTTATCAGTAGCAAACATTTGTGACCTTTTTTGCTGATTTTACAGATGTTTCCCACTGACAGATGGGCTTGGTCATCAAAAGATGGCCGTCACAATCAACCTAAACAATCGTTTGTCCTCCCTGAAAATTGGGAGTGGGAAGACGACTGGCATCTGAATGAAACTGTGCCTGGTGACGAAGGTGCACAGCATAAATTATCTTTAGAAAAACATAAATTATAATGTATTATGATTGCCATGTAGAATGTGACTATTCCAGTGAGCTATGTCCAGTAGAAGGAGCATCACATAAATTTTATTAAAAAAGCATAAATTGTAAATAAAATAGCATAAATTATAGCACATTATGAACATCAAGTGAATAAATTGATGAAATTATGCCTGCTGATAAGATGCAAAGCATAAATTATTATATAAGAGTTTATGCTTTCTTTATTATGACCAAGAATGAATGAAAATTTGCCTAGTGATGAGAATTTAGATTTATAAAATGAATTATTATAGTTTAAATTATGTTATGTTTGATTGTTATGTGAAACTGTGCCTTCATTGACAAGAAATAACATAAATTATGTTTTATTTATAGTTATATTATATAGCAACTTTGATTAATATGAATTATGCTTTTTGTTTTAAAGTTGGCAGTATTCTTGACTTTCCCAGGGAATATAAACCTATATGAATGGAATAATCTGCAAGTGCATTTTGAAGAATTGGATAAGAAATAGGCTTTGCAACATGACAAATGGGTTAAGGTACAGTTTCTTGAAATTCATTTGTGAAAGAGTGTTGAACTGTGATAATTTCAGTTGTTGATAAATTGCAGAACATTTGGGAATTTCTTTTATGGAGGAGAAATTCCTTTTAATCTTAAACAGACAAGAATATGTCATGGGTTATTTTGTATGTGTTCTTGGGATAAGAAAAACCAACTAGTTATGTAATCCATATTTGGGATACTAAATGATGCAGAGGACATATTCTAAAACTCTGGTATCCATGTGTACTGAAAACAATTAAAAGTTCAGACCTCGGGTTGATTAGTTGTTAGAAATTCTCAATACCCCAACAGATTTAAGTACCATTATTTATTGTTAGTTTTTGTTTTGATGATTGAAAATCACCATGATCTGTCTTTCTGTAAGATCGAACCTCCAGAAACTGATGAACTGGTGGAGCAAGCAATTCAGGATATTTCAGCTGGTGGCATGGACATCCCCGGGTGTCCTCAAGGATACATTGCACTGTGGGCTATAAACTTTGCTGGAAAGGTACAAATGAACTGGACAACCCCCAGTGTTAGAAGAAATAATGTTTTGTCAAAATGAAACATAGGTTAGCAAGTGTTAGAAATCAGCATTGATGTCATTTAATACAAAGTGTGATTTAAGATAAGGATTTCTTATTTTGGAAAGGCCATGTCTCACAAATCACCACATTATTTGGAAATTTGATTTTCATACCTATATGTGGACACCTTCTCCATTGCTATAGACTACCCTGTATTCATTAGCCTATAGGCTGGTTGCATCAGACTAATATGTACTTTCCTCTTCCGATTGCTTTAAAAGTCTTTAAAGACAACACATATAGCCCATTACTTTAAGTCTTTGATGGTCTTCAAAAATAAGCTTTTCCTCAACAACTTATAGAGAATTTGTGCTGCTGGCCTCAGGCTTTGCACAATTTGTTCCAGACCTCGTGAGATGATGTGACTTAATGTAATGATGTAGGTTTTGAACCGGAAATGATTTTTTCTATGTGTCTAATGTAATGACTGTTGTAGGTTTTGTACGGGAAGGGATTTCTTCTGTGTGTCCTGAAGGCAAGTCTTGGGTTAATGTGAAACTTCCGAAGATGTCAAAGGTGGTCAGATATCCGGGTCCTACAGGCATGGTGGTTAGTAACCTGGCAAGGAACACTTTACCTAAGAACTGGAATTTCAAAATTTCAACTCTCGGTAATGAACAAAGATCAATGTCAGCACTGGAGATTGTTTTGTTGATAAAATGGAATGTCAGGGGTTAACTCCTAAACTTCTTTGCACATGTGCATATGCATGTCTCTTGGTGTCCAGCAGGAGGGTGAGGTGATTAACCTAGCTTTTGTTCTGTTGCACATGTGCATATGCATGTCTCCGTGTCCAGCAGGAGGTGCTTATCTTAGCTGTGCTAGTGTTGTTGCATGTGCATATCAGTGCCTTGATGTCCAGCAGGGGGAGGTGCTTAACCTTAGCTTGTGTTGTGTTGCACATGTGCATATGCATGTCTCGGTGTCCAGCAGGTGGTGCTTAACATTAGCTTGTGTGCGTGTATCCATGTCTATGGGATGCATGAGTGTGTCCATGTGTTGTTTGAGCATAAATTGAGTGTTCTGAAGACTGAATTTTACAATGCAGGATTATCGTGGATTCCTGTTGAATTTCCAAACAATAGAGTTTATCAATTATCTGTCGGTATAAATGCTTTGTGGTTGCTAACAATGGATGGAAAAGTAAGTTGAATATCTTGAAAGTATTTCAATTCATATCTTTCTTTCGTTGCATTTCCCTGACTGATATCCTGAATGATCCAATAAACCCCTATCAAATAAACGCCGCGTATATTTCCGCCCCTTTTGAAGCGTGAGTTTGTTGAAGATGTCTTTATTAAACATCCTGTTTTTAGTTGGCGCTCCACACTCCTTTACCATTGTGATAAAAACATTATCAAACAATGCAAATTGTTGAGTGTATTAATCACGTGGTCTTAGCAAAAGATATTGGGGTTTGCTACATTTCTCACATATTAACAGTGTGAATACCATATTAATATTCCTGTAGGTATATAATGCCTTGTATCTATGAGAACCACACTAGACCTGCTTTATTAAACGTCCGGGTGTTCATTACATCATTTACGGCTAACATGTTATTATTAGAAATATTATTATGTATTCGCCGACTGACTAATATATTAACATAAGTAATATAATTAACATTAATTATAGGTGTATTTCAGACGGGGCTCGTCTTCAATTGGTTACACAGACGAAGCCAATGCTAAAGGAACAAAGTGGATTGAAATGGTTGGAAGTTTTTGATGCTGTCAATGGGCTTAAACGACCAGGTGTTGTTTTCTAGCTTCTTACCGTAAAACATGGACCTTGCTTTTTGAAAAGTTTCGATTATTTATTGAAACAATCAAATATTTTTTCAAGTATTCAAATTTTGCTTGGTAGTTTGTGTTTCAAACTTACAGAAAACGATCTGATTGGTTGATATAAAAGTAAATAAAATTTGACCAATCAGTGTTGCCTTCTGTATATACGAAACGCGGACATTTTTGAAATATTTAAATATTGAAATGAATGTCCGAACGTTTTAAAAGCAAGGCGAGATCGACATTGAAACCATTTCCGGAAAAAAGCAAAAAGCAAAGTCCTAAACTGATTGCAAGATATCCTGAGCACAAAAACATTCAAAACAAGACACAGACAGAAACTGTAACTTCATTCTGTCTGAAAATGGCTTTGTAATGAAGTGGAAAATTTACAGTTCCTTGTGCGCATGTTTTCTGAATATTTGTTCTGTATGTTTTAGAAATTGCTTATTACTTAACTGTGTGGCACTCCATGTTTTACTACGTGTGGAGTGCCACACAGTTCATACTTCAAGTGCAGACGAAAATGCTATTTCAACACGAGCTTTTTTCACATTTTAAACGTATTCAAACCATGTAGATACATTAATTTACACTAAATTCATTCATATATATCTGCATTTTGACGAATCTCATATCTTCCTTTAAATCTTATACATGCGTAGCTACGTGTCTTCTTGAATAGCCCCCGCCTTATGCTGTCTGTATGCCAATGCTCGAACTCAATATATTCATACTTTAACTTTGTTCTAGGTATTTGCTATAAGTACTGGACCTTACGGCGCAGACCGTGTCTATTTTCGTTCTGGTGTCACTTCATCCGACCTTCCTGGTAAAGAGTGGAAAATCATTGAAGTTGGTCTTTCTAGCACGGATAGTGCCAGTAGTCTGTCTCTAGCTCTTCTTCGAATCCAGATGTTGAAGCAATGCGAGGTAAGAATGAGGATGGATTAAAGAGTTTGTATAGATGCACAGTACCACTCAGAAGTAACTTAACACTGCATTCGCGTTCCATTTGCGTTTCGAGCGCGGATGAAACAGAAGGCAGTTTATACGCGTTCCATCTTAAGCCGAGTGCAACTGGAACGCATTTTGGAACGAACTCGGATCCCTCCCCTCCCCGATATTTTCTCCATTTATAGAAACGAAAAGTATGATTAAGTGTAATATGTTGGGTTTGTACCACTTTTCAAACCAAAACATTTGCCAGTGATACAGTTTTCCCAATTTTATTTTTATATTTTGTAGATGAACATGGCACTGTATTCTCAGAGGAACTCGTCCAAATGTCGGATGAAGCGCGTGGCAAACGTCAATGGATTTCGATGAGTTGCGGCGCATGTAACGTTATGTCTGACTTCTTCACTTCCTACTCTCATTCGCAGCGGCTCTTCTGCCGCTTCTACTCACAGTTCGTACAGGATGAGTCTTGCTGGTGGCCCGTGGTGGCAGGCTGTACTCAAGTTTTGAATCACGTTATGTTAAGGAAATTATGTATTTCTGCGACTACGAACAAGCCGTTGATAAAGTAAGATTTGATGTGTTTTGAAACATTAGTCCTTCTATACTTTAGTTTAGTATCTTCATCAGGAGTGATCTAATGTTGAAACTTTAGCTCTTATTTACTCCAGCTAGTGTCTTCATCAGGAGTGATCTGATGTTAAAACTTTAGTTCTTATATACTCCAGTCTAGTGTCTTCATCAGGAGTCATCTGATGTTAAAACTTTAGTTCTTATATATTCCAGTCTAGTGTCTTCATCAGGAGTGATCTGATGTTAAAACTTTAGTTCTTATATACTCCAGTCTAGTGTATTCATCAAGAAAGATCTGATGTTGAAACCTGAGTTCTTATATATTCCAGTCTAGTGTCTACATCAGGAGTGATCTGATGTTGAAACTTGAGTTCTTATATATTCCAGTCTAGTGTCTTCATCAGGAGTGATCTGATGTTGAAACCTGAGTTCTTATATACTCCAGTCTTGAGTCTTCATCAGGAGTGATCTGATGTTGAAACTTGAATGTCTACTGTACACTTCATCAAGAGTGATGTGATGTTGAAACGTAGCATCTCAGCATTAGTTTTATTTCAAAGATTCATTATAATTGGAAAACCTCGACGTCTTTTTTGCAGAGCAGTTGGTCAAAGACAACAAAATTCAACATGCTTGTGAGCAAATCTTCAAACACTTGGTGTAAGTGCGAAATAACCCTCACAAACGACAAGGAATCGGAATGTTTAATAATAAAATACGTGAAATTCAACAAGGAAAAGGAAATGAAGCTTCCTGTGCTTGACATAACTTGTATGGCGCGAGTGTTTAACCAAACTTATTCCAATTGTTTTACGATACACACGGCTGTGCGGACAATGGAGCGAAATTACATTTTATTATCAGCCCAATGAGAAAGAAATGAATGAATGGATGACGTCATTGAGTAGCTCTTCACAAAGAGCCCGGATGTGCGAAGGGGCACCTAAACCCTCCGCTCTTGGTGCACGTCGGCTGCCGGCGATGTCTTCTCTGACTCTAAAGATGACAGTGGTGGGTAGAAGTGGATAAAAATGGATAAATGTTAAGTTAAGAACTTATGGGTTGATTTGGGATAGTAATGGATGTAAATGAACATTAATTAGAAGTTGAAGAATTGATAAATATTAACTTTGGAATCGAGGGTAAATATAGGATCTTCCTCGTTACAAAGATTTCATCAACATTTTCTTCATTGCCAAATTTTCATCAACATTCCCTTCGTAATAAAGTAAATGGTGTAAACTCGAGAGTATCGTTACATGTTTGTAAATGTAGATCGTCCATGTTTGTAGAGTCCTGAGAAAGACTGTTGTTGTTGATGTTGACTGACGTTTCGACAACCTTAGCGGTAGTCATCTTAAGAGTCAAATTAGGAGTAAACGACAGGTTAGCCGTATGTGTTATCTGGTTCATACGTCATCGTATTGTATGGAGAGGAAATGTTTGGTGTGAATTGTGTTTTGTGGATTAGTCTTAAGTAATGAGCTTAATTGTTTGTTTGTTTGAGGTTGTGAATAAGTCGTTTTATAAGGTGCCGGTAATTGCTGTGATCTGTTCACGGCGTTTTGTTCTAAGTTGGTATACCAACTTTCTAACGTAAGTCGTTGTCTGTTGTCAATGGTGTAAGTAATGCATATTTCCAAGTGATGTCGGTATTTTGATTGGTTTTGTCTTGTTTGTTTGTAGCTCATTTGTGTTCAGTAAGTTTTATGTTTAAGACGTCAGAATTCTACCGACTTGAACGATCTACATATATCTACAAACATGTCAGATTCCCTTCATTGCGAAGTTTTTCATCGCTACGTCATTATCAACATTCCCTTCATTGCGAAGTTTTCATCGCTACGTCATCAACATTCCCTTCGTTGCGAAATTTTCATCGCTACGTCATTATCAAGATTCCTTCATTGCCTAGATTTCACCAACCATCCTGTTTATCACTTGTATTGGCGCCAAGTTGGTGGTCATTTGTTAAAATTGAAGCGGGTGTCGATCAAGTTGTTTGGGGGCTTGGGTACGACGGACGACCGTGGTGCTTTACACGTGGCTTTGGTGGTGGATATTTCCCGCGTCCATGAGCAGCGCCGAAGGTATTTATGATCAGAGTGACGAAAAGTCTTTTACACTTACGAGAATCAAAGATGGTATCCTGTAGATGGATATGGAGTAAGGTGATAAAGTTTTATTTGGCGGCGGGTGGGTATGTTGATTGAGGAAACACATGACTAATCCTTTGTTTAGACGACTTCCAACTGACCGCTATGAATGGAGCGATGAAACTGGAATACTAGAACGTCGTCAAGAGGGCTATCCGCTACCTAACTCAGACTGGCAATGGAGTGGTGAGTGGAAGGTTGATTTCAACACAAAGGAAGGGATATAGTGGGGCTGGATGTACCTAGATTTTCCAAGGTCAGAACGAAGGAAAGACATTGGTGGAAAGTACTGTGCTGTTTTTTTTGACATGTTTGCTTTGTTTACAGGGAATACAGCTGCGAAAAACATTGGAATGATTGCGTGAGAAGACGTCGATGGCAAAGGTAGCGAATTGAATACTTATTTACTTGAATGGTTGGTAGGGAAGGGGGACTGGAAGGAGAAAGAAAGAGGAATGGAAAGAGAAGATCCCTGAAAGGAGGAAGATGGGGTGGAATCAGTGGTGGAGGAAGGAAAGGAAGAAATGGAATGGAAAGGTATGGAAGAACAAGGAAGAGGAAGGAAAGAGAGGGAAGAAGGAAGGAAAGGAAGGAAAGGAAGGAAGGAAGAAGGAGAAGGAAGGAAAGGAAATGGGGAGAAGGAAAAGGAAGGAGGAAGGAAAGGAAGGAAGGAAGGAAGGAAGGAAGGAAGGAAGGAAGGAAGGAAGGAAGGAAGGAAGGAAGGAAGGAAGGAAGGAAGGAAGGAAGGAAAGGAAGGAAAAGGAAAGGAAGGAAGGAAGGAAGGAAGGAAGAAGGAAATGAATGGAAGAAAAGGATGGAATGGAAGAAGGAATGAAGGAAATGAAACCAATACATAGATCAGCGCGTGTAAATACGACTGGTCCGTGGCTGAAGTTCAACCTTCAGTGCAATTGAAAGATATCAGTATACAAATCGACCACATGTATCAAGATGATGGTTCAATTTCTGTTTGGGCTGTCAGCCATGATGGGGATCTTGTGTAGAAAAGGAGTGACTAGTGATCGACCTCAGGTAAGATACAAAATTATTATATGGCAGCGTTACTTCCGGCAAAATGGAGCGCTTTGATTGGCTCAGAAACATTTTTACCGTTCCATTATTTTTCCATTATGGACCCACGGTCTGAAACTTCTAATTTTACGGTCAAGTGTAAACGAACTTCGTAACGCAAACTGCAAAACGAAAAAAAAAACAACGAAACAAAAAACCATTTACGAATTTGAGTAAAAGGAAAACACTTGGAAAACAGTTCAACTTTCCAGACGATACATTTGAAACGATTTCTTTTTATTGACAAAACTAGAAAAGTGAAAGTCAACCTGTACAAAACAGCAAGGGCGAGGAAGAAAGCAAACTTCGTTTCAGGTCAAATAATGTCATATAATAAACCTTTATTAACCTTGCTTGCTCGGTCTTGACTGAAATAAAACTTTGGAACAGGCATTAAAGTAGAAATTTATACAGGAACACATTTTACCTTAATTTTCTTTCCAATGAGTTTCAGCTGGCCTCTTCATTGTTCTACAATTGTTCAACATTAATTTGCAGCCCGTTCGCAGTCATTCTTCCTAACTCTTCTGCTTCAAGCATTCCATTTAAACGATTGAGTTCAGATGATTTTTAGTGCAAATCGTAATGAATTTTTCCCAAATCAATTAATAAAAGTATTACTGAAACTATGTGATTACTGATTAGGATAGAATATATCTTAGTTCTTTGTAAAAGACACATGTTTTCATCTGATGTACAAGCACGCAAATTGTGTAAAAACACGCTTATTTTCATATTCTAAAGCATATTTAGCAATGCTTATGGACGTGTTGATTATTTAGTAATACTTGTTGAATTTTCTTTAAAAATGTTATTGGATTTCACCTTTAATCTGTGGTGATCAATTAATCTAATTGAGCTTTCACAAATGTTGATGATTTTCCGTTCGTTCAAATGAATATTCTAAAGTTTCACCGTGTGGCGGCCCAAGAAATCACTTGAATAGTTTAGTTAACGATAACTTTCCCCATTCCATCGTAACAGACCGTGCACCGCAAACTTTGTATTGATTGATTATATCTATAGTATATATTCACCTAAATACAGTAAATTTATTATTTATTTATTTATTTACTTATTTATATTTGCGGCGCACTCTCTGTTACGATGGAATGGGGAGAGTTATCGTTTGTTTAAAGTATTCCAGGGATTTTTTGAGGCGACTATGGTTTTATTGTTGTACCGCACCGTGTTATGGATCTTTTACTTTTTTATAATGCTGGGCCAAAGGAGGTTAACCATCTGTCATCATATTGTTAAATTTTGATTTATGTGTTTTTCTTGCAGGGAATCTTGGTGTCATATCACAACACCGATTCAATTTTCAAGTATTTCCGTCGGCTGCAACAACATCGTTTGGGGATTGGTAACGATGGAGCGGCTTTTTGAGGATTGGGTACGAGGGCTCTGATGACAGAGGTAATAATATTGCCATTTGTATTAGTGATTTTTCAAACTTGTGAAAAGGCGGTTTTATTTACTTTACGATAATGAAACTCTGTAATTCTACAGTCAATGTTGTATTTCATTGATTGCCAAGTTCAAAGCGAATATTTTTCCTTTTAAGATTTTTGAAGCATTGAAACTTGCTATCCAGCTAAAGCGGCTATTCGGTCTTCGGGTCTCGCAACCGCGCGACTGACACGAAGTCCATAAACCAATAAAATCGTTCTTTGATCGTTTCACGCGTGAGTGTCACTAATGACTCGTACAATGAAACATGATTTACTTACCAGTTAACTCTACAACAACTGGAAGGCTAACTTGGTCGCCATCTTTGAAGCCTGCATGATCGCCGCCATTGAGGGTACGGAGGCGAAATACATCACTTCGAAATTGCAGGGTTTTTGCAAAACAGTGCTCTTCGAGCCAGCTTAATGTCTAAAACCTTAAAACAATGTTTGACTTTAATATAAAACAAGTTTGAACGACATTTGTACATGTTTAAGTTTTTAGAAGGATGAAAAGCGAACTTTGCTTTGGCGCGTGAAAACATGCCTTATAACTTGAATACAAAACTGACACCCTCGTTTTTTTCATTAAAAGAATGTAAAATACACTTGTCCATCCTTATAATATTGTTTGAATCTTTGAAAATGAAGTTATCAGGGAAAACGCTGTTTTTCGGTAATTTTCGTGTTTAAGAACAAAATTAGCTCGCTCCAGCCCAGCAATAAAATTGTTATGAAACATGTTATGTTATGGATTGTGTGTATTTTGCACAGCATTCAAAGATACAGACTACCCGTTATCAGTTTTATCTTAAATTTTTGGTCTTTGACGACAAATAAGAAATTCATATTTCGAAGCAAGTTCTTACTTTCATGTTTTATATAATACAGCGTTACGTATACAAAACATGTCTTGGTACGTCCACAATGCATCTTAACACATTAAAAACTAAATTCTGCTAACGGTTTTGAAAAAAATAAAACATTTAGGCTAGCATTCTATTTCCAAGTTAGCAGTTTTTGCAAAACAATCCGTCACGCAAATAAAACAGTCCACGCGAGATACACGAAGTCTAGGCAGTATATTGAGTTAGTTAGCCTTCCAGTTGTACTAGAGTTCATTGTTTACTTACATAATATAATGCCATATGTGAGATTGCAGTGCCGTGAATTTCGTTGTATTATTTGGTAACTATATAATACGCATATAACCAAATACTGTTTTCGAGCAGCCCAAGTGAGCGCCTGATTAGCGTCTAGTATTGAACCTATATTGAAAACTTGAAATTCAAGTAATAACAGTTTTGCTTAGCAAACTTTGCACAAACATTGTTGTGTACGTGCGGACTGATCAGTTTGAGACGGATATTAAGATAACATTAACTTTATCGTGGTCAGGGTGTCCGACATATTCGATATTTTTGAAAATTTGTGTTTTCCGTGCTTACTTGTGCTTTTGGATTTTAAAGTGTCTGCATCATGTTTTTGCATTTGTGTTTTTCCGTGCTTACGTGTGCTTTTGGATTTTAAAGTGTCTGCATCATGTTTTGCATTTGTGTTTTCCGTGCTTACGTGCTTTTGGATTTTAAAGTATCTGCATCATGTTTTGCATTCTGTGTCATTTAGATAGTTCAGGCTACTTTAAAACTTTTGAATTGTATTTTATTGTTCGAAATTATTTTTCTGTTTGTTTGACGCTCAAAATTAAAAAAGTTTGCCATTTTCGTAGTTTGACCGCCAGTAAAAAAGCTAGCAACTAATATTATTTTTGACGTCACAAACCGAATGCCGTTTGTTATATTTTGTTTAAAATTGAATGTTTGTGAACATCCGACAAGACCTTACGCATGCGTGTAATGCAACAAATAGGTATGTTGTTGAGGAGATTCTGTGTAAAATACAGTGTTTTTTTAAAGCGTGTTCTCGAGTTATGACGTCAGATCTAGGCTCTCGCCCTAGTTTTTTCAAGTCACGCGCGAGCAAATAATCACCGACTTTGAGCATCAAAAATACAAGAAGGTCAGATTTTATATTTATAAAATATACATGCAGCCAAAATGTTCAAAATCTTTTAAACTATCTACATAGCCCAATTGCAAAACATGATATAGGCTCTTCAATCCTCTGCCTATTGCAAATGTGAACCAACAAAAAATGTATAAAACATGTTTATGGTTGTCTTAAATTTTACATAAATAAACAGGCTCGTTACATCGATGACCGTCATTGACCTGCTTTTTTTATCACCACATTAAATCAAATCAGAAAAAAGGCAGATTTTTAAATAATTTACTTGTTGCCATAGTTAGCCAATGTCAAAGAATAAAAGTTTGAGCGCCTGTGCCGCTAACCTTAGATCTCTAGTCCCGCTAACCTTAGATCTCTAGTCCCGCTAACCTTAGATCTCTAGTCCCGCTAACCTTAGATCTCTAGTCCCGCTAACCTTAGATCTCTAGTTCTTATTTTGTTTCTGTTCCATACACCTCACTTTTTGAACTCCAAACCGCAAACGAAGAATTAATATGAGTTTCGCCAACCTGTTCTTATACGAACAGCTGCTGTTTATCTCAGCCAACATGACGTACTCACAAGTCTCCATTCTGCACAGGAAAAATGGGACCGTTTTCCCGCCCCAGGCCTTAACCCGCTCGTTTTAATATCGGTCGGCAGAAACACTGTTTGGGCTATGGATAAATACGGCGAACATTATTACAGAGAAGGCGTGACCGAAACGTTTCCGAAGGTACAAAATGGTTGAAGATATTTGGTCGTGCAGTCTGTGTCGGTCAGCGCCAATGACGAGGTATTCATGTAATATTACGGATCTGTAACTAAGCAACTCGTAACTCTTTCATATGACTACTTAAGCGTTACGTCATACGTAATTTTCTATTAATCTGTTTCATTCACGTGACTACAAGAACATACGTCATCCGTAAATTTCTATCAGCCTTTATCATTCCGTGACTACAGCAACATTACGTCATACGTAATTTTCTATCAGCCTTTATCATTCACGTGACTACAAGAACATTACGTCATACGTAAGTCTCTATCAGTCACTGGTTGTTTTTAACAATTAGATTTTCTATGAATTGATGGTTTATTTCAATGACTGCCATTTTTGACATTTTGCCGTATAAAGTGTTTGTGAAAAGACTGTAGACAGTAGACCCTCCTATGACAGTATATGCAAAGCTATGTTTGAAATTTTCAGATATTTCGTGCAACAATTTGTAGCCTGTAGCATAATCAGTCGCACAATATTTTTAATGTCTTTCGTATTTTTCATGAATTTTGCTTTGAAATTTCGGGCAGAATTTCGTACGATGAACACTTTGCTACGAATAGAACTCCGGCCGGCTGTACTAACATATCAACGATTATTCCAAGTTCTCAGTAATCAAAGCAAAATGACGTTAAAGTGACTAGTTGTGAAAATCGAACATTACTAAAACTTTGAGAACTCGAAAACGAAAATAAATATTCACGAACTGTTTGAAAATTCTCTGTAATTTTCAAAGTTCTTATAAATGAAAATATATTTGAATATCGAAATTTTCG